TGGCTAATCCGCACTCCCTGCATCATAATTGACGAAGACAATAGGGAGTTTTTGCAATATCATTTATCCAAATGCGGAAAGCTAAGGTCAGGTTATCTTCTTCTTACACTCTTCTATTTAAGAAAAGGATAACGTGACTTTAGCGTTCACTGCATTTGGATTCACGTTATTGTGACAACTTTTTAGTATCGGCAACCGGCAACCATAATCGGTGAACTATAGTGTGATTATAGTTTTAGATACGATTTCGAGACTGTAAATTAAATTCAACGCACAGTTTGTTTGATTAGATGCAAGTGTACGAAGGCTTTATAATAATTTATTATAAAGCTTTTATATCTTTAAAAAGATAATGTTGTAACAGTATTACTTTAATTGAAAATAATTTTATTGATTTAACCACAGTATCAATGAAACAAATTAAATTTTATTGAAGAATTCAGTAGAATTCAGTATAAGTCATCTATTAACACAGCTTGGGAAAATTAAAAATTCAATATCTTACCTCTTTTCTTCACAAAAATTTACACTAAAATATTTATTTAAACCATTACAAATCCATTTTAATCGTTCTTTTGTCTCCAAATTGTAAAATGTATTTGTTTCAGATGATCGCTAAACTGAATGAAGTGTACAACCTAAGTGGATTTCATCTTCAAAGTATTCAACATAAGATACAAACACGATTGTCAGAAATTAACAGACATGTAGAGCATTTCCAGTTTATAAATGTTCCTTAAGTTAATTTGAGCTTCTATACGTTTCCCTGTGATTCGAATCAATTAAAAATAATGTGTGTGTCTAACTAAATATTTTAGATTTAACTTTGAATATTCCATTACATAAATTTTGTTACTTTTTATTCTGATGTTATACAGCGTGTTCATTATATCTTTACTTGTATCTATATTTTCTGTCTTTAGTCTTACTTCATTTAATTAAGTACTTTGTTTATTAATTATTCTTTGTTATTAATATTATTAACGTTCTTATATTATATATCCTTATTGTTGATATTTCATATTATTAATATTATTGTTTCATTATAACTTAAAATAAATAGTGCAATTAGTTAACAATGGAAATATTACTTGTTATATGGGAATATTATTTATTGTTAAAAATAGAGCCAAAAATACGCATGAGCATACCGGATGGAATCGCGCCATTTTGCATAAAATAAAATTCCTTAACTAATTCTCTTTCCTTTGTATTGGAAACAAATTTAATAATTCTTGATGAAGCGATTCTATATTTAATTTCATTTAGACTCCGATATGGACATTTTAAAACGCATATTTTATTATAATCACTATTTCATACGTAGAAGCATATTAATGTCCATTTTTTTTTGTTTTAATTGTTAAATAATTACATATATTTTTCGTATAAAATTGAAAAGTTTTCTCTACAAAATAACGTTTGATTCATTTCATTCGTTGCCACTTGTTGCGGAATAATAATCATTTAGTTTCAACCCATTCTTATTGATCATTTTCTGTAAAAAAATATAACATCCATTTTTTCTTTTGAAACAGAACTTTAAAAATTTTTATAACAACAGATTAAAATAGAAATTACAAAAAAATCCAATATACGAATCAGACGTCGCAGAGATGCTATTGCTGTTGTGGCGTCTTTACGATTCTCTCGGATTCGTAGCATACAGCAAACTTAAAAATTGCATCTTCAAAGCAACGTAAGAAACAATTAATCGACATTCGAAATATTAACTTAAATGCCTAAAATCGAAAGACCCCCTGATTTATCCCTTTGATAAAGAAATTGGCAACATATTAAAATTATTTTAATCTCTAAATCTTCTTTTCGAAATTTTTTAATCGATAAATCGTCTTTTCATATGGACTTGGATATTTTTATACTCGGCTCTTTATCGCGTGCATTACTGCTCTAATTTAATCAATTGTAATTTTGACTGAATGTAAATACTTCTTAAATGGCTAAAAAAATGTTTCAAAAAATGTCTCAAAAAATGTATAAATGTAAAAAAAACTCTCTTCTAGAGTGTCGCTATATGCATTAAAAGTATAATATGTTATTAACAGTTTGACAGCAGAATATATCAGATATATTCGGATAAGTTAATCATGATCCATCCACCTTAAATTTGTATTCCACCGAAAAAAAGGCCGATTAATATTACGTCAGTTAATATAGAATGTGTATATTAAAAGTAACGGTTTAAATAATATTCTTTATTTATCATGTAAGTGTTTATTATGTATGTTATTGTCGATGATATTAGTCTGTTGTGACTTCTCGAAAGAGAAAGATAGGAGCCATCGGAAACATTTTATTACAATCTACATTTCGTTTCGTTATAAATGTTATGAGCATAGCAATCAGCAGTAAAAATTACATCTTAATAGTATATACAGAGTAAGTTTCTAAGAAGATAATATATTATTTATACAATCGATTATTCTTTAAATAATAAAGTTGTGAAAACGTTATTTGACTTTCGACTGAACGTTACATGTTTAAGAATATGTATGTAAAGACTGAATTAAATGATAGTTTTAATTTATGTTCTTCAAACGTTTTCAAGAAAAGTTTCATTTTTTTAGAGCAGTAAGATATGATCACTTTAATACTGTTTTGTTAAATACTTTATGAAAGTAATGTGCTGTACTTTACGCTATTTGTGGAATATTCATATTTATTTTATGATTTAAAATTAACTTGCCTTAAAAAATGTTATAATAATGTTATTTAAAGTAATTTTTTATAGTCATTCCTAAGACATTCATATGACTTTAAAACATCAATAAAAAAGCAATACACATATTAAATAAAAAGAGTTTATTAAAACAAGATATAAAAACTTTAGAATTATTTATCGCGTTGCTGTAATAATATTTTTAATATAATCACAACAGTGCTAGAAATATTATTAAAATTAAAAATGCTTGTTTTGCCACGATGAGATACTATTAAAGACTGACATTCTTATGCGAGATCGCGAGTAAGAGTAAGAAACTGATACTAATTTTATGATGTATAGATTTATAGGCGCATTTATCGGTATATATACGTTGAAAACTCAATAATATTTAATTTTTCTTTAAAATGTCAGTGTAAATTTCAGTGTTATCGTCAAAGTTTTATCAATAAAGATCATAACTGTAGAAAAAAAAGTGTAATTTTACGGCATATAAAATATTATTGCTTTACAAGTATGCATATTTAATTAAGAAGCATTTATATAATAAAAAAATCTTCAATTTAATAGTGTATTAGTCAAACATTTGTGTTAATAGCAGCAAATTTATATTGTCGACAATGTCAGCGTTCCTCAATAACTTCCGAGTCCTTTGGGCTTTTTTTGCGGTCGAAAATTTGCCCAGAGTTGACAATCTTCAATAGTACGAGGGCAAGTCAATAAGTTGTCAGAGGGCACTCGCAGTGTCATGTCACATAACTTTTTGACAAGTAGCATCTTACAGCTGATTAGTATCAAATTTTGAGCGGAATTCATCGCGTAGTTTCGTTTCTGTAGACGATTAAAGCGAACAACCTTTGTATTTTTTGCAAAATGGAAAAAACAAGTTTCGTGCAGTGATCACATATCTACGTATGAAAGGTTTAACACCGAAAGAAATCAAAGCCGAATTGGAATGTTCATAGCACATCTGCACCAGCGTTTGCGACTGTATACAATTAGGTGAATGAATTTAAACGTGGTCGTACATCCACATGTGATGCACTTCGTTCGGGACGTCCAATTGAGGCTGCTACGTCAGAAATCATCGATAAAATCCACGATATTTTGACTGATCGACTAGTGAAAATATGCGAGCTTGTTGAGGCCACAGGCATATCACATAGTACAGTGATTTCAATTTTGCACGAATAATTGGGTATGAAAAAGCTATCGGCAAGATGCCGTGTTTATTCACTGTGAACCATAAGCGCGACCGTGTAATGATTTCAAAACAATGTTTGGAGATGCTTCAACGTAATCCAGATGAATTTCTGCGTCAATTCATTACTGTGGACGAAACATGGATCCATTATTTCATACCCGAGGCGAAGGAACAGTCAAAATAATGGACTTCACCGGATGAACCTGCTCCGAAGAAAGCGAAGACCGTGAAGTCGGCCGGAAAAGTGACGGCCATAGTTTTTTGGGATGCACGCGGTATAATTCATATTAATTACCTTCCGTCGAAGCAAACGATCTATGGCGATTACTACACAGCCTTATTGGACCGTTTCAACAACATTTAAAAAAAAAATGTGCCCGTTTGGCGAAGAAGGAAGTGCTCTTCCATCAAAACAATGCACGGGTTTATACGTGCCCGGCACCGATGGCCAAATTCAACGAATTCCGCTACGAATTGCTTCTCCATCTAGCATATTCGCCAGATTTAGCCCCCTGCGATTGTTTCCTATTTCCAAACCTGAAGAAATGGTTCGGAAAAAAGAGATTCATCACCAGAGAGCAGCTCATCGCCGAAACAGAGGTCTATTTTGAAGAGTTGGGCAAATCATATTATTCGGACTTGAAAAAGTTGGAGAATCGTTGGATCAAGTATATCGAGCTGAAAGGAGACTATGTTAAGAAATAAAAATGAATCGATCGAAAAAAATGTGTTTTACTATGTTTTTCTACTTATGACTTGCCCTCGTATCTCGTCGGTGGATTTGCATATATGTAATCATAATTACAGTAATATGACGATTTTAATAATTTCACACACACACACACACACACACACACACACACACACACACACACACACACACTCTCTCTCTCTCTCTCTCTCTCTCTCTCTCTCTCTCTCTCTCTTTCTCCCCCCCCCTTCCCCTCCCCCTCCCTTCTCCCTCAGCAACAAATAATCATGTGCATTAGGCCCTGGGCACAACAAAAGAAATAAAGAATTAAGAAGAAGAAATAAAGAATAAACGATTTCAATCTATTAGAAACTGTATATTTCGAAGTATCCGCGATTTCTGATAGGTTAAAATCGTTAATTTTTTATTCCTAATTCCTTATTCCTTCTATTCTGCACAGGGCCTTATTATCATTAATATGCTATTATTTTCTTAAACTTTTTGGTAGATATTGTTTAGAATAACAATTGCAACATGAACCAGGCATACATAAGAAACAGCGTAATATTTATCATAGTAATGATTACTCTTAACGATGCTAAAGTAAATTTTAGAATTCTGACGGGACGTTTAACTGATCACACGATGCCAGTGCATTACACCATAGAACTCGCCCACATTTATCAATGTACCGATAGATATATCGATAAATACGATGTCATTTGCAAAAAGACAGTTGGTTATAGCTCATTTCCGAACTCATTTTCCTTTTTTGGAAAAACTAGTACCACTATCAATATTCTTCAATCCACTCAATATATAAGATTGTATCAAGTAAATCTGACAATTATAGAGCAGAATATAACTTTGACTACAGATAATGGTATAATATATTACGTAACAAATAAATACAGATATATCTCTAAAAGAAATCTTTTAGAATTCATTTTACCTCATATATTATTTCCCGGGCTCTACACATTCAAAATACAATTCTTCGGTCATCTTACTGAAAACCATAAAAGTATCTACAAATACTTCTGTAAGAGAAATCACACAACGTAAGTATTAAACGTGAGTAAATATTAAATAAAAAAAAAATATATATATCCATTATTTGCACCATTATACAATTATTTCTCATTTTTTCTCAAAACTTATTCTTTTATACTAATTTTTGATGTTATATAAATTATATGAAATGATAAAAACTATATTATTATTATTTAATGTTATTTAAAGCAAATATAACTTTTATTAAATTGTTGTAGACTGTTGCTCGCTCCACACTTTCAAGCGGGTGGAGTCAGACAATTGTTTCCTTGTTGGGATGAACCGCACTTCAAGGCTACGTTTAATATTTCAATGAAACATTCTCGCCATTATTCAGTTTTATCAAATATGCCAAGAAAATTAATAACCCCAGATATTTATAGTGATTCATTATACACATACTTCGATATTACTCCTCCAATGTCAACTTTTCAAATTACGATAGTTGTGACTGATTATAATTACATTAGAATTATAAACGAAAACATTACTTTGTGGTGGATATATAATTCAGAACAACAAACACGGAAATTAAAGTTTGCACAAAGGATCATATACAATACTACATTGCATTTAAAATCTGAATTCAATGGGATAAACATTCCAAAAATGGATCATGTTGTAATTCCAAATTTTCCACAAGACGGCACATCGAAATGGGGGCTCATCTTTCATACGTAATACATATTTCTAAATATACAACAATTTGTCAAATGAGAATGTTATTTATACCAATTCAATATTTAAAACTTTAAAATTTATACGTTTATGCATTTTGATAAGAAATTTTCAATTAATTATAAATAAAAGAATCAATTATTAAAATAATTATTAATCCGCGAATCAGGTGGAGTGTAACACATCCCAGCAAGATTAATTTTAATAATTTCTTGAAAAGTACCGCGCGCCTGTTTCCGGTTTCGTGCAACTGAAGAATGCGTTGTTGTCAATTACATATATTAAATTATACCACATTTATGATGAAATATAGCATATATGTAAAATATATGATCTATGTTGATTTTCCACTTAATAACTATTTTTACTTTTACGAAGAGTTAATAATTATTATTACACAAGATAATATAAATCTTATACAATCTGTACTTTAAAATAGATATGAAATTTGCAATTGCATTTCTTTCTAAAAACAATTGAATTTTTTTCATCAGCTGTGCATAGAAATATTATAACATAATTATCAGAAAAAATTATTAATAAATTTCATCTCGTAATTAAGTAGCATAGATATTTCTTTCCATGACAAAATACGTTAGAATAAAACGTAAAATATTTTATGTGTTATTAACATTTTAATAATTCCTCGTTTAGCTTTATATCTAAGATAATTTTAAAAAATAATTATCAAAATATCATATAATTAAATAAAACATATTTTTATTTAAAAAGTAGAGATAATCATGAAACGACTTCAACACTTACACAAAGTAATGGTTTTATCTATATGATTTCATTCTCCGTACTAAAAACTTAGTTATATAATATTTTTTCATATATTTTCATGTCTTTATAAATTTCATCGACAATTGTGTGACACTTTATACGAATATTCTTGCATATCGAATGTCACCTGTTGTGCTTTATTAGAAGTCTAAAATCATAATCCAATATTCTACATGTATAAATTAATTAGAAAAGTGATATTTTATAAAATATTACATACTTTAAATCCAGACAAATTAAAAAAATATAACTATGCATAGTCATTTTTTAATGTCCTAATTTATCATTACAAATTATATAAAATTAAAAACATTAAACGTTTTATACACATCATTAAAAACAAATTAAAATGAAATCTGTAAAAAAATTGATGGTACTGTTTCATCAACCAAAAAATAAGCAATAATTTTTGCACGTTAGTACAATTGTAATAATTTTTAGAGAAGCCAACCTTATGTGCGATGAACAATCAGATTCAATTACGCACAAAATAGAAGTCGCACGTTTAATAGCATCCAAAATAGCATATCAATGGTTTAGTAACGTATACAATTATACTTGGTGGTCTCAATTCTGGTTACACGACGGTCTTGCTACTTTGTTTGGAGAAGAAACCATCGTTAAGGTTTTTATATTTATTAATATATCGCAATATAATAAATTTACCTTAGTTTGGTATATTATTTTTATTCTTTAACGCTTAAATCTGACAGATTTACAATCATTTACAGTACATATGAAAAATCTCTAAAAAAAAGAAAAATTATATGCCAAGAAAGTACATAGAAAAAGTATCAAATATTACTTTTCTTTTAATAAAAAACGAATACGAAATAAATGTAATTTGCTAAGTATTTCATAATGCAAAACACATAGATAGTTTGAAAGTGACTAAAATGTTAACTGAATTATAGTGAAGAAATGTTGGCGTGCCCGAGTTGGATTGAAACGCAATATTCTAGGATCAATATGTCTTCATAGTATGGAAATTATTTGCAATACGAATTAATAAAAAAACTTATTACATACAATATATTCTACAAACATCCACAATACATGAAAATAATAATTCAAACAAGAGATGTTAAAATTGCTTACTAATTTTATAAATTCGTTATCTACAATGTTTCTACATTTAAATATTATCAATATTATTTCTTCATAATCCTCTTCTAAATTCCTAAATAATTCACAGAGTTATCTATATTTTAAATATGTACATACATATATATTGGGTCGTCCGGAAAATACGCACGGACTTTCCGGGCGACCCAATATTTTTGTAGTTATTCAAACTGCGCACCGAAATTTTTCCGGACTTTATCAGACTCAATTAAACTACTACGCTATAATATTACAAGTTAAATTTAATTGACAAGCAAATTCTCGATCTTCAATCCGATATCATATTATTATATAAGGATGTATTACACCTCAGCTGGGACTTGAACCCGGATTTCATGTATTCCATACGAGCGTCCTAAGCCATTTAACGACCGAGGCAAGTCCCGGCCGAGGTAATATTTTTCGCGATAAATTTATTTAAAGTTTTTTCAGCCCATTGACATTCCATTGTAATATCATATCGGATTGAAGATTGAGAATTTGCTGGTCGATTTAATTTAATTTGTAATATTATTGCAGTAGTTTAATTGCGTTTGATAAAGTCCGGAAAAATTTCGACGCGCAGTTTGAATAACTACAAAAATATGATGTATATGCATGTACATATATAAGATATAGATAATTCACAGTAAATTATTTAGGCATTTACAAGATCCAGTTTTGACCGTCATAGGCTTGACTATGATTATACTTAAGTATTTATATATACACATACATACATACATATACATTATATTTATTTACATATGTTAATTATTTTTATATTTTAATTTATAATAAAAATATTGTGATGAGATAATATATTCATACAAGTGCAATTAATGTGACCTGGGCACGCCAAGTTTTTTCTTCACTATAATCCAGTTGATCAGTTTAGTCACTTTCAATATATCTCGTGTGTCTTGCATTATGAAATACTTGACTAATTGCATTTATTTCGTATCTGTTTTTTATTTAAAAAAATGTAATATTCGGTACTATTTTTATGCATTAGGCGTATATTTTCTTTTTAAGAAGATACTTATATCAATACTTATATCAATAAAATATTATGACAAAATACAATATTTAAACTGGAATATTAATAATAATCTAAACATGACTCGTAAAAACCTTTTCAATTAAATGTTTAAAATTTCACAATTTAGATCGTTTAAACTTTTAAAATTACAGAATCTATAGAACTCTGTTTTAATAATTACATTCACTGTTTCTTTCTAAACTGAATTAGGAACATCGTAAAATGATTTTAACAATAATGCGCATACATGCGCACACAACATTAAGCAGCAGCACATGCTACACCACCTCAATGGAAATAGTCTTTTACCTTAACATTCTTGTGTAATTAAGAAAAATTACTTTTAGATCTTCAATGATTCTAAAATCATGGATTTCCTCATAGTGCAGAATCAATACGAATCTCTTCATTTAGATTCTCATTTTGACATGAATCCTACTCAAATCACCAGCAATCAATCATCTATGTTGGAAATGGATTCACTTTTCAGATTTCCTCGTCATTTAAAAGGTAAGAAAAGTTAAATAATCTTTTAATAAATTTTTATACATATAAATATGACTAAAATATTAATAAAAAGAATCTAGTTAAATAAATTTTGTTCAAAAGACTCAATTTGCGATTGATTAATAAATATGTATCATTACAGTACTAATTATTTTACGCATGCTCCAAAGTGCAATTACCGATAAAGTGTTTCGAAATAATGTTCATACATATGTAAACAGACAGTGAGTAAATAGGTCAATTATAATTTTGTCGTATATTGTACTTATATAATATAATAAATCTAACAGCTATTACAATTTTATAAAGTTGTTCATAACTTTTCGTAATGGTTGCAATATTTCTGAATATCTCTTTGTTTCACATTCATAGGTACATATCTTTCTTTTTAATCAGTAATCACATAATATTTCTAACTTTTTCATTTTTCAACTGTCCTTCATTCGTCTTTATCTGTGTTTAATTCATTAAATTCGTTAATATTATATAATTTTATATAATATAAACTTTATATAATTTTTTGTGTTAATCGTTAGTAAACTATTGTTTAAAATTACTTACTTAAAATGTTTAAATTAAACTGAATTTTTACAAATTGTATTACAAATCGTAATATATAATAAGAATTGTATATATATAATAAATATATATAATATATGTATATAATATTGTATATATAATTATATATAAATGATCTAAAATAGGAAATTAAAATATAACATAGTCCAGAGTTCCATATATATGTACATGTTAATATATATAATTAAGTAATAAGCATTTACGTTGTACACAATACATTATTTTGATCACTGAGATGATACATTTTTTAATTTAGCACTTTTAGCTCAACAAGTTCTTTTGATTTTTGGTCCCTGCAAGAATCCATAAAAGCATTTAACTGTTCTATACCATCAAATAAGTTCTTGACTTGGATACGATACAGGCATTATCCTATTGTATCCTTATACTTCGAGCGAGAAATAGCTGATTCTTATAAGATGAGATTATCGCAGAAGTATAATTCAACCAGTAATGGAAATTGGTGGATACCTATAAATTTAAAAAACAATAAATTGCAGTTTGCAGAAGAATTTTTAATGATAAACTTCACAATATGTTTAACACCAGATTCATGGTCTGATACTTTTAATCTTCAACAAATTGATTGGGCATATAATTGGATAGTCAACATTCAGCGAGCAGGTAAATATGTCTTAAAGGCTTAGAATTTATTGTATACAATTATTTGTATGCAAGAGTATTTCCCTTTCTACTTTTCTGTATGCACACACGCACGCACGCACGCACGCACGCACATGCAAGGTATTTCAAAAATAACAATAAATCTTTCGCTGAGGATCAAAATGGACTCAGCAGAAAAGTCCTTTACCATTTTACAATTTCCGCGATAGTTATCAAGTTTTTAATTTATAAAAGTAGTCAAATTTGTCGAGTCTATACCGCCAAATGCAAGCGCGCGACAGAATAGGAATAAAAGTATGAAAAATTTGTAACATAGTGTAATAATAGGCGCAATTGCGCACTTTACCCAGCGTGGTGAGGCTCGCGTTCGCGCTTATTATTACACTATGTTATAATTTTCTCATATTTTATCATGATGAAAGATCATGCTTTAGCGAATAAATTGTGTTGAATACGTGACCTCAAAGTTCCCAAGAAAGAAGAGGTTGAAACACACTTCCCCACCCCTCTTTTTCCACCTAAAACACGTTTTTGGCCATATATACAAATACACACACACACACACACACACGCGCGCGCGCGCGCGCACACACACACATATTCATAAATTTATAATGTATAAAGTACCAGTTATTAGTGTTATTACTGCAGCTTTAAGAAATTTTAATGTTAAAGTTTAGGCCTTTACATTTCTTTTCAGTTTGAATTCCTTTTATATCGTGAATTTGAATTACATTTATTCCGACAAATTGATGCATACTATTATTTAAAATTTGTTAAATCTACATCAGATTTATAATCAGCAATCGAATAGAATTACAAAAATTTATTCCCGAAGAAAAATGTTCCTTCTACTTTATGTTAACAAAGAGTTAAAGGGATCCTAAACCCCGAGCTCTGATGTGATCATTGTTTTATCGATAAAATGCGACATATCTTTATATACTACTACATCATTATTGATCTCATACATACGTACAAATTTTCTAACTAACTATCTTTCGTATTAAGTATCTAAACCAAATTCTAAGTATTTAACATTGATTGTTCGTGTAATCTCTAGTCTTCAAACCAAGATTGTTTTATACGTACAAAGTATAAAACTCGTATATAAAGCAAATAATGTTATGAGCCGATGTTAAAAGTCGGTAACAAAACTGTAATTTTTCAGCATTTTTTCATTTTTGGCATAAAGATCGGTTTGAATTACATCATCGTTTATACTTTAATTATAGAAAAGAATTTTTAAATTGTAAAAGCAGTTAGAAAAATACTTTGAAAAAATCGATAAAATAAATTCATTTTAGGATCCTCTTAACATAAGAAAAAAAAATTGAAAAAAATATTTCTCTCATTATCAGTCCTATAAAATCCATACAATACAATACCATAAAATTTTACGATACATACGATAAAATTTTTTTTATGAATAGGATATTATCGTGTCAAATATAATTTAGAAGGCTGGCACGAAATTGCAAATTATTTAAAATCTACAGCTGGAAAATATGAAGGAATAAGTATCATTAATCGTGCTAAAATTATTGATGACGCGTTTCATTTGATGATGGAACGTCAGCTCAACGTATCTGTATTTTGGAACCTCACGCAATTCTTATCACAAGAGACAAATTTCATAGTGTGGTATCCAATGTTTAAAGTATTTGAATATATATCCAATATATTTCCATATTCGAAAAACGAAATTAAATACATCGATATTATTAAGGTAATGTTCAGTTGATATTTAATGTAAACTATTAGTTATTGGCAAAGACCTAAACAATATATTATTTTGAATTCAGGGTTGAAAGTAATGCGTTACTTCTAATGCTATTATCGTTTTTGTTACTTTTTTTAATAATATGAGTAACAATGTTACATTTCTTTACGAGTAATGTAATTTTTACGCAAAATTTCCTGTGCTTATATTATCCCTAAGGATGCCCATATTAGGCTATTCAGAAAATAATACGAGCACTGGACGGGTAATAAAAGCACACGCCATTTCAACAATTGCGTTAAAATAATCAATTTCAATACTAATAAAATAACAACATAACATCAACAAATCTATCATATAGCATGTATAAGATTTTTTTATTCTTGAGTATGCTAAATATATCAAAATGTTTCCTTTAGGTGCACATAACACTCGATTCTATAGTTGATCTAATTAATTATTTTTTCATCAGATATTTCATTAAATCGAATATACTATATTTAAATATCAAATAAAATGCTCTCTTTTTATACATTCTTAAATCTAATATCCGACCAAGTCGTAGTTCATCCGATGAAATTTTAAGGGATAGACAAATGACGGTTCGTATTCTATTCACATGTAATCGGAAAATTACATTTTATCAGATAAAAGTGTTTTTTATTTCATTAAATAATCCTGAATCCGATCGAAATTTATCGGAGAAGACACTAGAACTGGTTTATTCTGGTCAAAAGAACTAGGCATTTTTCTCAGTGTTGTAGTCATCATTCAACAATAATACCGCGATAACCCGTGATAAGTTCACGATAATGAATTCACAATAATTTTACAAATTTTTGACAATTTAAAAAAAGAATTTGTATTTCAAGATCGAAAAATTATTTTTGCGCCCAATTTAGAGGACTATGTACTACATGAATTCACATAAAATTACACAAGCACTTAAGATCCAACTAAACCGTTTAAGGCATTTATTTCCAATATATTCTCATATGTACGATTCTATAAGATTTAATATTGTTTACTTGTCATTTTTGTGGGATTTGAAGCATTTAAAAGTTGAAATTGAAGAATTTAAAACACTTTTTTAAAAATATCATTCTTTGTAAAGTAACTTTGAATTTGATTATAATAAAATTGATTTAAATCTCTCAAACTATAGTAAATAACAAAAAGATTAAGACTAATGAGAGTCAGCGTGGAAATAGATAAACATAAGTATTAATTCATATAAAATACTTCAAAATAATAAGTAATGTATAACTTTATTACGAAATCTTGAACATTTTCACTCTCTTTGAAGACATTCTCAGCAAGTTATACATTCAACAATCAATGTTTCAAAGTATATTTTATATGAATTAACACTTATGAATATCTATTTCCGCGCTGACTCTCATTAGTCTTAATATTATTATTATTTATTATTTTATAATTTGGTTTCTTGCGCCAATTTTAGTGATACTTTAATTCTGTTGCGTAGTGTATTAATAAATAATATTAAACATAATAAATCACTGTTTTTCTATCAATAACTATTGAGTACAATAATTTCTAAAAGAATAAATTGTACTTGATCGATAAAGTATAAATGTATACATTTTAAGATCTTTATTTTAAAATAAAAACTAAGACAGCGCATTTATCATAAACACATAATTTTAATTTTATTGATATTTTGATAGTTAAACATACATTACCATTAATCAGACAAAATAACATGCATGTTGCATAAAATATCTAAAAAACATCTTTTAGACATTTTTTGGACATAAGACATCTAAAAGACGTATTTTAAATATCCTCTGCAACATAAATGTTATCTCGGTGACCTTAAGATATTGCTTAAAAGAAATTTAAAATACGTGTATACGTATAATGATAATATCACATTAAAGTATTATACAAATATAAAATCTCTGACCTCATTATAGGAGAAATTACGAAAAATGTTGGATCCACTTATAATACCCATGCTTCAAAAAAATCAAACAGATTTTAATAGATGTTTAAGACAAGAGATTTTAAAATGGGCATGTGTGCTGCCACACCGTACGTGCATATTCTCGGCCATACTGGAATTAGACCTTCAACTTAAGAAACCTGAAATATATCCGTAATATTTTTCATACGTACACCTTTTTATATCGATACACTTTAAATTCTTTGAAGTAATATTACACTCTTTTGGAATAAGATTTACTTCAAAGTATTTAGAAAGCAGAACAAAGCATTTCAGTAATATTGTTTCAATATTGCAATGATTCAGCAATATTGTGGGCAATATTGATAACGTTCCAGCAATTGGTGTAATTTTTGTTAATAATCACAAGTTTTTATGTCTTGACATATTATTTGTTCAAACATCATAATAAGTGACATTTTTGAATGTATGTTATCATTCTGTTTTTTTTTAAATTGTAGAGTTTCACCAGAGTGGAAGCACTGGACATTTTGCAGAGGTTTAACATTATGCCATTATGATAACTATTCTGTGTGGTTCAATGCAACTTCTGCATGGTTAAGAAAACCTGATTACAATCTGTTACCATTTTTAGCTTGTTGTCCATTTAATTATCATGTAGTCGATTCGATCATTGCCAAACTTATTCATTTGCCAAATTTATTCTGGAATCGATTCGACACAAAAAATGAAACAAAAGATATCACGGTTATTCGTTTTTACATAAACATTTTTCATTCAATTATCGCTAAGCATGCTAATACCAACAACATACTCACAAAGATATTATTAAACTTAGAAGAAATAAAACCAAAGTAAGAACTTTTTATATATATATATATATTTTTTTTTTAAATGCACTATATATATATATATATAGTGCATTTAAAAATAATATGTTTTATAAAATTGTAATCTCTTTGTTTCATAGAGCAATCAACACATTAACAGCATTAACAGATATTATTAACCATGTATATTCTTCAGAAATTCTTGGGCAGGCAAGTAAAATTAATTCCAAATTCCGTATTCATTTATGTACCTTCGAACTATATATAGCTCATTCTTTTTTAATTTATAATATTAATTTGAAATACTATTTATTTATGTTTTCTAATTGATGCTTATGCTCAATATTATTAAATTCTTTGTCAATTTAATTTGTATATTACTCTAGTCCTGTAAAGTCGTAATCACACTACGGTTTATCAGATATTGTCAGCAGACCGTCCTATTTTAGTCATTCACGTTGTGGCTAATCCGCACTCCCTGCATCATAATTGACGAAGACAATAGGGAGTTTTTGCAATATCATTTATCCAAATGCGGAAAGCTAAGGTCAGGTTATCTTCTTCTTACACTCTTCTATTTAAGAAAAGGATAACGTGACTTTAGCGTTCACTGCATTTGGATTCACGTTATTGTGACAACTTTTTAGTATCGGCAACCGGCAACCATAATCGGTGAACTATAGTGTGATTATAGTTTTAGATACGATTTCGAGACTGTAAATTAAATTCAACGCACAGTTTGTTTGATTAGATGCAAGTGTACGAAGGCTTTATAATAATTTATTATAAAGCTTTTATATCTTTAAAAAGATAATGTTGTAACAGTATTACTTTAATTGAAAATAATTTTATTGATTTAACCACAGTATCAATGAAACAAATTAAATTTTATTGAAGAATTCAGTAGAATTCAGTATAAGTCATCTATTAACACAGCTTGGGAAAATTAAAAATTCAATATCTTACCTCTTTTCTTCACAAAAATTTACACTAAAATATTTATTTAAACCATTACAAATCCATTTTAATCGTTCTTTTGTCTCCAAATTGTAAAATGTATTTGTTTCAGATGATCGCTAAACTGAATGAAGTGTACAACCTAAGTGGATTTCATCTTCAAAGTATTCAACATAAGATACAAACACGATTGTCAGAAATTAACAGACATGTAGAGCATTTCCAGTTTATAAATGTTCCTTAAGTTAATTTGAGCTTCTATACGTTTCCCTGTGATTCGAATCAATTAAAAATAATGTGTGTGTCTAACTAAATATTTTAGATTTAACTTTGAATATTCCATTACATAAATTTTGTTACTTTTTATTCTGATGTTATACAGCGTGTTCATTATATCTTTACTTGTATCTATATTTTCTGTCTTTAGTCTTACTTCATTTAATTAAGTACTTTGTTTATTAATTATTCTTTGTTATTAATATTATTAACGTTCTTATATTATATATCCTTATTGTTGATATTTCATATTATTAATATTATTGTTTCATTATAACTTAAAATAAATAGTGCAATTAGTTAACAATGGAAATATTACTTGTTATATGGGAATATTATTTATTGTTAAAAATAGAGCCAAAAATACGCATGAGCATACCGGATGGAATCGCGCCATTTTGCATAAAATAAAATTCCTTAACTAATTCTCTTTCCTTTGTATTGGAAACAAATTTAATAATTCTTGATGAAGCGATTCTATATTTAATTTCATTTAGACTCCGATATGGACATTTTAAAACGCATATTTTATTATAATCACTATTTCATACGTAGAAGCATATTAATGTCCATTTTTTTTTGTTTTAATTGTTAAATAATTACATATATTTTTCGTATAAAATTGAAAAGTTTTCTCTACAAAATAACGTTTGATTCATTTCATTCGTTGCCACTTGTTGCGGAATAATAATCATTTAGTTTCAACCCATTCTTATTGATCATTTTCTGTAAAAAAATATAACATCCATTTTTTCTTTTGAAACAGAACTTTAAAAATTTTTATAACAACAGATTAAAATAGAAATTACAAAAAAATCCAATATACGAATCAGACGTCGCAGAGATGCTATTGCTGTTGTGGCGTCTTTACGATTCTCTCGGATTCGTAGCATACAGCAAACTTAAAAATTGCATCTTCAAAGCAACGTAAGAAACAATTAATCGACATTCGAAATATTAACTTAAATGCCTAAAATCGAAAGACCCCCTGATTTATCCCTTTGATAAAGAAATTGGCAACATATTAAAATTATTTTAATCTCTAAATCTTCTTTTCGAAATTTTTTAATCGATAAATCGTCTTTTCATATGGACTTGGATATTTTTATACTCGGCTCTTTATCGCGTGCATTACTGCTCTAATTTAATCAATTGTAATTTTGACTGAATGTAAATACTTCTTAAATGGCTAAAAAAATGTTTCAAAAAATGTCTCAAAAAATGTATAAATGTAAAAAAAACTCTCTTCTAGAGTGTCGCTATATGCATTAAAAGTATAATATGTTATTAACAATTTCATAGCAGTATATATTATATCAAACATATTCAAATAAATTAGACATATATATCCATCTACATTAAATTTGTATTCCAGCGAAAAGAAAACCAATTAATATTACATCAACCAACGCAAAAATTAGAATCGAAATTACGAAAATGATTACAAGTTACAAGTTTCGGCTACCGGATAGAGCCCTCTTTATACATTAACATAACGAAAAATCGCAGAATAAAATCAATTATCGCAAATGATCGCATATTCAGAATATTCACAGTTCGGGTGATGTCGAATTCAACATAATTCCGTATGATTGAACCGTCAAATGTATTAAAAATATCTTGGTAAAGTTCAGAATTCATGTGTAATAAATTTAAATTAGCGTGTCCAAAAAGGAATAAAAAACTTTTGAAATCTATACAGCAAAAAGGAACGCATATGTGTAAGACAGACATTACGTGTCGATTATTATGTACCTTCAGTAGTGCGGATCAACACAGATCCACTGTACATAATAATCGACACGTAATGTCTGTCTTACACATCTGCGTTCCTTCTTACTGTATATATTTCAAAAGTTTTTTATTCCTTTTTGGACACGCTAATTTAAATTTATTACACATGAATTCTGAATTTTACAAGATATTTTTAATACATTTGACGGTTCAATCGTACGGAAATTATGTTGAATTCGACATCAAGACTCACCCGAACTGTGAATATTCTGAATATGCGATCATTTACGATAATTGATTTTATTCTGCGATTTTTCTGTATGTTAATGTCTGTAACTGTAAACTTGTAACTTGTAATCATTTTCGTAATTTCGATTCTAATTTTTGCGTTATGTAATTTTACCTCTGTTAATTATAATATATATGTTTTGTTAATTCAAAGAAATGTGTTGACTCTTACTTTGCCCGTTACTTCTTATTATTTGTTTTGTATAGACAGAGTTCTTTGATTTGTTATTTACATCAACCAATATAGAATGTGTACATTAAAAGAAACATGTTTATTTAACATAACATTTTGTATTCAGCATGTAAGTATTTAATATGTATTTTGTTATCGACGATTAGTCTGTTGTGACTTCCCGAAAAAGAAAGATAGCAGCCATCGGAAACGTTTTACTACAATCTATATTTCGTTATAATTGTTATGAACATAGCAATAAGCAGTCAGATTTATATCTTAACAGTACAATTGTATTACACTGGGTAAGATTATAAAAAAATAATATTTTATTTGTAGTATCCACAATCGATTATTTCTTAAATAATAGAGTTGTAAAAACATTATTTGATTTTTGACTAAATGTTATATGTTTAAAAATATGTACGTAAAGATTGATTTAAATGATAGCTTCAAATTATGTTCTTCAAACGGTTTCGACAAAAGTTTTATTTCTTTAAAGTAGTAAAATATGATCACTTTAATACTGTTTTATTAGGTATTTTATGAAAATAATATACTATGATTCTGCTGTAAAATATTTTTCTTTGTAAAATATTCGTATTTATTTTATGACTTAAAATTAACTTGCCTTAAAAAATATTGTAGTTTAAAGTAAAATTTTTTATAGACATATTTTTGTAAGACATTCATATGATTATAAAATATCAATAAAAAAGCAATGCACATATTTAATAAAAAAAGTGCACATATTAAAATAAAAAACAAACGTTTTAGAATTTATTGTTGCTGTAACAATATTTTTATCATCACAATAGTGCTAGAAATATTACTATAATTAAAAATGCTTGATTTTTTGCCATGATAAGCTATTATTAAAGACTGTCATTTTTACGAGAATTCGCGCTCTTGTTAATATTTATTAGGTGATTAAGGCTAAAAAATTGATACTATTGTACTAATTTTGTAATTTATTATAGTTTTATAGACGCGTTTATCGGTGTATATGCATTTAATACACAATATATGCAATAATACTCAATTTTTCTATAAAATGTGATTTCAATGTTATGGTCAAAGAGTTTAATTATCAACAGAGATCATAACTGTAGAGAAAAAATTGTAATACTGCGGCATATAAAATGTTAAAGCTTTACAAGTATGCGTATTTATTTAAAAAGCATTTATATAACCAAAAATCCTGAATTTAATAATGTATTAACTAAATCATTATAATAGTAGGAAATTTATATTGTCGATAATGTCAGCGATCCTCAATTACCTTCGGGCCCTTGGGGGTCTTTTTATACGGCTGAAAGTTTGCCCAGAATTGACAGTCTTTAATAGTATTTCGTCGATGGATTTGTATGGTTTGCATAGATGTAATCATAATTACAGTAATGATTTTAAAACTCTCCTCTCCTCTCTCTCCCTCCGACCCTATCCCTTTCTCACCCCCTTTCCTTTCTTTTTCAGTAACTACATACAATCATGTGCATTATTATCATTAACATGCTATTATTTTCTTAAATTTTTTGGTAGATATTATATAGAACAATTGCAATATGAACCACGCACACATAAAGAGTAGCATAATATTTATCATAGTAATAATTATCCTTAACGGTGCAGGAGTAAACAATTATAGAATACTACACGAATCTTTACCTGAATACATAACGCCAATGCATTACACAATAAAGATTGCCCACATGATTTATCAATGTATCGATATATACGATGCCATTTGCAAAGAGACAATTGATTATATTACGAGCAAATTTCTCTTTCTTGGAGAAACCAGTACTACTATCAATATCCTTCAATCCACTCAATATATAAAATTGCATCAATTAAAGCTGACAATTATAAGTCAGGAAATAACTTTGACCTCAAATAACGGTATAATTTATGTAATGAATAAGTACAAATATAGCTATAAAACAGACATTTTAGAATTTCCTTTATCTTATACATTACTTCCCGGGCTCTACACATTCAAAATACAATTCTTCGGTCATCTTACGGAAAAGCATAAAAGTATCTACAAATACTTCTACAAAAAAAATTGCACAATGTGAGTAAATATTAAACAGAAAATATACATATATCCATTATTTGCACCATTATACAATTATTTCTGATTTTTTTCTCAAAACTTATTCTTTTATACCAAATTTTGATGTTATATAAATTACATCAAATGATAAAAAGTTATATTATTATTATTATTATTTAATACTATTTCAAGTAAATATAACTATTATTAAATTGTTGTAGATTGTTGCTCGCTCCACTAATTCAAGCGAATGGAGTCAGACAATTGTTTCCTTGTTGGGATCAATCGCATTTAAAGGCCACGTTTAATATTTCAATCAAACATCCTCGTTATTATTCAGCTTTATCAAATATGCCGACAAAGTTCGTGACCTATGAAAATAATAGCGATTCAATACACACATATTTCTACATTACTCCTCCAATGTCTATTTCACAAGTTGCAATAGTTATGACTAATTATAATTTCACTAAAATTAACGAAAACGTTACTTTGTGGTTATGTTATTCAGAAAAGAAGTCTTCAAAACTTTTTGAGTTTGCACGAAGAATCATATACAATATTACATTGCATTTAAAATCTGAATTCAATGGAATAAATATTCCAAAAATGGATCATGTTGCAATTCCAAATTTTCCACAAGACGGCACATCGAAATGGGGGCTTATCTTTCATACGTAATACATGTTTCTAAATATATAACAATTTGTTAAGTAAGAAATTTATTTATATCAAGTGAATATTTAAAACTTTGAAGTTTATACATTCATGTATAAATTTCAAACATGTACTTTCAGAAATAATTTTCAGTTAATTATAAAAATCTTAGTATAAAAATTAATCATTACTATTGTCATACAATGTGATCCGAATACAAGTTGTATTTCAAAATAAGTATGAAATTTTGTAATTGCATTTCTTTTCTAAAAACAATTTAGCTGTTTTTCATTTATCATATGAAAATATCAGAAAATAATTATTAGAAAATTAATAATTTTCGAAATTTGTTATTATACATTATTCCGTGTCGAAATGTGCTATATAATAGAGTTCATAATAATTTATAGGCTAATGATACTTTGATAATTCGTCTTTAATAATTTCATATGTAGAAAAACTAAAAAATCATACAATTAAAAAAAATTTGTATTAGTCCTATTTAAAAAATAGACGTAATCAAAAATGTCTCTAAAGCCTTCACGAATAATGTAATCGTTTTCACTGTATATCTTCTTCTATACCGAACGCATGTACGTATAAAATATTTTTTTATATATCTTTATAAATTTTATTCACAATTGCATCTGTCGCATTATATAATCATACTGTGTATCAAGTGTTAAATACCTGTATTGCGTTTCATCGAAAAACACAAGAAACAGAATTTATTTTTCTATCAAAATTAATAGGAAAATTGGATATTTATATTAACTAGATATTACACATTTGAGGTCAAACTGAATCTAATTTTAAATAAGATATCATTCTAATTTACAATATTCAAAATTATATATAATTTAAAATATCAAATATTTTATACGTATCATTAAGAACGAATTAAGTAGAAAAACATATATAATGCGAAATACGTTTTATTTAATAAAACGTAATTGATGACAAAGATATTGCATGTTAGAACAATTATAATAATTTCTAGGGAAGCTAATATTATTTATAATAAAAAATTAGATCCATTTATGCGCAAAATAGAAGTCGCACGTTTAATAGCATCTAAGATTGCATATCAGTGGTTTAGTAACGTTCTCAATATTTGGTGGCTCCAATTCTGGTTACATGATGGTTTTGCTAATATATTCGGAGAAGAAGCTATTGCTAAGGTTTTTATATTTATTAATATAGCAGTATTAAAGATACCTTTGTTTATGTATACTATTTTTATTCTTTGAGTCTTAGATCTGACAGAGATCCAATTATTTATAAAATCTATATATTATTTGAAATTTCCTATGTAATTTAAATAAGAACAATGAAAATGTATACATGACAAGTAACATAACCTTATTAATTAAATGTTAAAAAAATTTTATAATTTAAAATATATAATTCAACAATTTTATGGAAACTAATTTTAATAATTGAATCTACTCGTTATTTCTAAACTGTGTCATGAAAATTGTAAAATACTGTTAACAATAATGCGCACACATATATATGTACTTAATATATATGTACTCCAATCAGTACACAATTTTTAAAAACTATTCTTAAAATGTTTATTTAATATTTTTACATTAAATAAATATTAAACAAATATGTTTTACTGTGTGTTGATGTTCAGCAACACACGCTAAGTCCTAATGCAGACGTGTTTTACACCTTAACGTTTGTGAAACTTTTATTTAGAGCTTCAATAGTTCTGAAGTAATGGATCTTTTCGTAGTTCAGAATCAATACGAATCTCTTCATTTGGATTCTCATTATAATATGAATTCTTTAAAATTGACTGTCCCACCAGAAATTGATTCAATTTTCAGTTTTCCGCGTTACATAAAAGGTAAAAACAATTAAGTTATCTTTTAGAAGAAATATGTACATATTGATATTATAACAGAAAAGGGAAGAAAAGTTTATTTGGGAAAAATTCAATTATGATGTATTAATATATATTTTTTGTTTTAGTAATAATTATCTTAAGGATGCTCCAAAGTGCTATTACCGATAAAGTGTTTCGAAATAATATCCATACATATATAAATAGACAGTAAGTAAGAATAATATAATAACTAATTACATCATGTACTATACATATATACATATATTGTGTGTGTCCGTTCGTGCGTGTGTGCGTGCGTGTGTACGTGTGTGTGTGTGTGCGTGCGTGCGTGCGTGCGTGCGTGCGTGCGTGACAGTAATATATCTAAAATTTAAAAATGGAATATAATACATTGCAGAGTTCCATGTATATATTTTATATGTAAAAGTTATATGTACAGTTAAGTTATAATTCCATATTTACGTACAAACCATTATTCTGATCACTAACAATAAATATTTTTATTTAGCACATATAGCTCAGTAAATTCTTTTCATATCAGTGATTTTTGGACGATGCAAAAAGACATGGAAGCTCGAATTGCATTTAAATGTACTATGCCATCAAATATATTCTATACTTGGATGCAATACAGGCATTATCCTATTGTAAGCTTGGAGCAAGAAGCTGATCCTTTCAAACGAAGATTGTCGCAAATAAAATACAATTCAACCAGTTATGGAAAATGGTGGATACCTATAAATTTAAGCACCAATAACTTAAAGCAGATCATACTGAACTTCACAACATGTTTAACACCGGATTTACCCTCTTTTACTGTACAACAACAAATTGATGGGGCATATGTTTGGATAGTCAACATTCAGCGAGCAGGTAAATATGTTTTTAAGGGCTTAAAATTTATTGTATATAAATATTTGCAAAAGTATCTCCCTTTCTACATTTCTATATATAAAAACACACACACACACACACACAAAACCCACGCACGCACACATATATTAGATTGTCCAGAAAAAAAAATTTTTTTTTAATCGGCCACTTAACTCAAAAGCTTTCATTTTGTGCCAAAAAAACCCCTAAATTTTTATCAAAAAATATTAAAATTTCGAGGTCGCTAGTGAACGATTTTCCTTAATACATGTTTGATTTGATGCAAAAATGGCTTAATCCGAATTTGAAATGTGGTACTGTATGTTTTTTTTCATCATTGAACATGCAATAGTTCATTTAGATTCTTCATCAAAGAGCAATTTCAATGCTTACCTCAATTATATATATATATATTCAAAAATTTATTAAGTATAAACAAGTTATTACAGCAGCTTTGGGAAATTCTGATGTTAAAGTTTAGGCCTTTACCTTTCTGTTTACAGTTTGAAATCCTTTTATATCATGAATTTAATTTAAATATATTCAGATGAATTGATGCACGTGGCGCGGACATATCGAATCTATTATTTAAAATTCTTTTTTTATTATTTAAAAAACAGAATTGCAAGATTTCGCAGAAATTTATTTCCATAGAAAAATGTTTCTCCTACTTTATGTCAATAAAGGTTTATTTGGAAATAAGAAAATAAGGAGATCCTAAAGCGAAGTCCAAAACCGATGAGATTCCTGTTTTATCGATAAAATGTGACACATCGACATATCTTTATATACTACTGCATCAATATTGCTCTCACGCATATGTATAAACCCAAATAACTAAATGTTTGCAATCTTCTAGCAGGTTCGAGCAGAAAATGACAACAGTCTGCCATCGCAACTGCGTTCGCATAAGGCTTGTGTTAATATCGCCTGTCGACATAATGTGAAAATAAATTGTTGGCAGAGACTGATCAGATTCTATCGACATTATCTGATGCTAGACTGTCAGCAAAAACGACGCAGATTCTGCTGTGTCAAATGTCAGTAGAATCTGCTGGGTTTCTGTCAACAATCTGAGGTCAAATCATGTCAGAGGATCTGCTGACAGTGTAGTGTTAGATGATGTCGACAGGATTTGCTCTGTTTCTTTCAATCTGTCATTTACTTCTACTGGAAGATTCTGTTACATTCCTTCTAGCAGTCTGTTAATAGTATTATGTACATTTAATTTTGTAACAATTCTGTTACTTTGTTAATATAGTGTGCAGTAAACATAAAAAAAAATCTACTTTCTATCTGACTTCGCTATCTTCTAACTAATTAATCTTTTGTATTAAATATCTAAACCTAATTCTATACTCAACATTGATTGTTTATGTAATCTCTAGTCCAAACAAGATTGTTTTATAGAATTCAAAGCATAAAACTCATACATAAAACGAACATTATTACGAGTCGATGTTAAAACAAAACTGTAATTTTTCAACTTTTCTTCGTTTTTGGCATAAAATCGATCGGTTTAGACTAGATTATCAATTATACTTTAGTTATGAAGAAAAATTTTCTAATCTCTAAAAGCAGTTAGAAAAATACTTGTTTGAAAAAATTGATAAACAAAATCATTTTAGAAGCCCCTTAACATAAGATAGAAGAAAAAAAATAAAAAAAGTATTTCTCTTATCGTCAGTCCCATTAAATTCATATAATACAGTACAATAAAATTTTATAATATATACGATACAATTTTTTTCTATGAATAGGATATTATCGTGTCAAATATGATTTACAAAGCTGGTACGCAATTGTAAATGATTTAAATTCTACAGCTGGAGAATATAAAGAAATAAGTGTCATCAATCGTGCTAAAATTATTGATGACGCGTTTCATTTGATGATGGAACGTCAGCTCAACGTATCTGTATTTTGGAACCTCACGCAATTCTTATCACAAGAGACAAATTTCATAGTGTGGTATCCAATGTTTAAAGTATTTGAATATATGTCCAATATATTTCCATATTCGGAAAACGAAATTAAATACATCGATATTATTAAGGTAATGTCCAGTTGATATTTAATGTAAACTATTAATCAAACAAGATAACATACATGTTACATAAAATATCTAAAAAACATCTTTCAGACATTTTTTAGACATAAGACATCTAAAAGTCATACTTCAAATATCTTCTGCAACATAAATGTTATCTCGGTGACCTTAAGATATTGCTTAAAAGAAATTTAAGATACGTGTATACGTATAATAATAATATCACATTAAAATATTATACAAATATAAAATCTCTGATCTCATTTTAGGAGAAATTTCGAAAAATGTTGGATCCACTTATAATAATGCTTCAAAAAAGTCAAACAGACTTTAATAGATGTTTAAAACAAGAGATCTTAAAATGGGCATGTGCGCTCGAACATCTTACGTGCATAAACAAGACCAGAGTGAGATTAGGACTTTATTTTATGGATCCTAAAATGCACGCGTAATATTTTTTTATACAACACTTTTTTATATCCATACAAGCTTTAAATTCTTTGGAGTGATATCACACTCTTTTGGAATAAAATTAACTTCCAAGTATGTAGGAAGCAGCACAAAGCATTTCAGTAATATTGCAATGTTTTAGCAATATTATTGGCAATATTGATAACGTTGCAGCAATTGGTGCAATTTTTGTTAATAATCACAAGTTTTTATGTCTTGACATATTATTTGTTCAAACATCATAATAAGTGACATTTTTGAATGTATGTTATCATTCTGTTTTTTTTTAAATTGTAGAGTTTCACCAGAGTGGAAGCACTGGACATTTTGCAGAGGTTTAACATTATGCCATTATGATAACTATTCTGTGTGGTTCAATGCAACTTCTACATGGTTAAGAAAACCTGATTATAATCTATTACCATTTTTAACTTGTTGTCAATCTAATTCGATCATTACGGAACATCTGCCGAATTTGTTCTGGAAGCGATTCGACGCAAAAAATGAAAGAAAAAATATCACGGTTATTCGTTCTTACATAAACATTTTTCATTCAATTATCGCTAAGCATGCTAATACCTATAACACACTCATAAAGATATTATTAAACTTAGAAGAAATAAAACCAAAGTAAGAACTTTTTATATATATATATTTTTTTTTTAAATGCACTATATATATATATATATAGTGCATTTAAAAATAATACGTTTTATAAAATTGTAATCTCTTTGTTTCATAGAGAAATCAAGACATTAACAGCATTAACAGATATTATTAACCATGTATATTCTTCAGAAATTCTTGGGCAGGCAAGTAAAATTAATTCCAAATTCCGTATTCATTTATGTACCTTCGAACTATATATAGCTCATTCTTTTTTAATTTATAATACTAATTTGAAATACTATTTATTTATGTTTTCTAATTGATGCTTATGCTCAATATTATTAAATTCTTTGTCAATTTAATTTGTATATTACTCTAGTCCTGTAAAGTCGTAATCACACTACGGTTTATCAGATATTGTCAGCAGACCGTCCTATTTTAGTCATTCACGTTGGCTAATCCGCACTCCCTGCATCATAATTGACGAAGACAATAGGGAGTTTTTGCAATATCATTTATCCAAATGCGGAAAGCTAAGATCAGGTTATCTTCTTCTTACACTCTTCTACTTAAGAAAAGGATAACGTGACTTTAGTGTTCACCGCATTTGGATTCACGTTATTGTGACAACTTTTTAGTATCGGCAACCGGCAATATAATAATCGGCGAACTATAGTGTGATTATAGTTTTAAGATTCGATTTCGGGACTGTAAATTAAATTCAACGCGCAGTTTGTTTGATTAGGTGCAAGTGTACGAAGGCTTTATAATAATTTATTATAAAGCTTTTATACATTTAAAAAGATAATGTTGTATTAACAGTATTACATTAATCGAAAATAATTTTATTGATTTATATATAACCACAGTATCAATGAAACAAATTAAATTTTATTGAAGAATTCAGTAAAGTTTCAATATAAGTCATCTATTATCAGCTTGGGAAAATTAACAATTCATTATATTACCTCTTTTCTTTACAAAAATTTACATTAAAATATTTATTTAAACCATTACAAATCCATTTTAATCATTCTTTTGTCTCCAAATTGTAAAATGTATTTGTTTCAGATTATCGCTGAGCTGAATAAAGTGTATCACATAAGTGAATTTCATCTTCTAAGCATTCAACATAAGATACAAACAAGATTGTCAGAAATTAACAGACATGTAGAGTATTTCCAGTTTATAAATGTTCCTTAAGTTGATTTGAGCTTCTATACATTTCCCTATGATTCGAATCGATTAAAAATAATGTGTGTAACTAAATATTTTAGATTTAACCTTGAATATTACATTACATAAATTTTGCTATTTTTTACTTTTTATTACTTTTACTTATTATGATGTTATACAGCGTTCATTATATCTTTACTTGTATCTATATTTTCTGTCTTTAGTCTTGCTTCATTTAATTAAGTACTATTAATTATTCTTTGTTATTAATATTATTAACGTTCTTATATTATATATCCTTATTGTTGATATTTCATATTATTAATATTATTGTTTCATTATAACTTAAAATAAATAAAGATGTGTAATTAGTTAACAATGGAAATATTATTTGTTATATGGGAATATTATTTATTGTTAAAAATAGAGCCAAAAATACGCATGAGCATACCGGATGGAATCGCGCCATTTTGCATAAAATAAAATTCCTTAACTAATTCTCTTTCCTTTGTATTGGAAACAAATTTAATAATTCTTGATGAAGCGATTCTATATTTAATTTCATTTAGACTCCGATATGGACATTTTAAAACGCATATTTTATTATAATCACTATTTCATACGTAGAAGCATATTAATGTCCATTTTTTATGTTTTAATTGTTAAATAATTACATATATTTTTCGTATAAAATTGAAAAGTTTTCTCTACAAAATAACGTTTGATTCATTTCATTCGTTGCCACTTGTTGCGAAATAATAATCATTTAGTTTCAACCCATTCTTATTGATCATTCTGTAAAAAAATATAACATCCATTTTTTCTTTTGAAATAGAACATCAAAAACCTTTATAATAGATTAAAATAGAAATTACAAAAAATCCAATATACGAATCAGACGTCGCAGAGATGCTGTTGCTGTTACGGCGTCTTTACGATGTCTGATTCGTAGCATACAGCAAACTTAAAAATTGCATCTTCAAATCAACGAAAGAAGCAATTAATCGACATTCGAAAAATTAACATAAATGCCTAAAATCAAAAGACCCCCTGATTTATTTCTGGGATAAAGAAATTGGCAACATATTAAAATTATTTTAATCTATAAATCTTTCTTTTGAAATTTTTATAATCGATGAATCGTCTTTTCATATGGACTTAGATATTTTTATACTCGGCTTTATCGCGCGCATTACTGCTCTAATTTAATCAATTGTAATTTTGACTATGATAATGTCGTTTAATTTACATTGATCAAGAATTTATTTTTACAAAAAACCACTCATCAAGATTTCTAATAATTACCGTCAGAAGAACTTATCTATATATTTTATGTCCTTAATTTATCGTTATTGTATTGTACATAGCTACTAAAAATAATTAAATTATCTTTTAATAGAAATATATGTACATATAGATATTACATTATATTATAAGAGGGAAAGTTTAGTTGAGAAAAATTCAATTACGATGTATTGATATATATTTCCTATTTTAGTAATAATTTTACGGATGTTCCGAAGTGCTATTAGCGATAAAGTGTTTCGAAATAATATCCATACATATGTATTAAACAGACAGTGACTAAATATAATTTAACAATTAATTACACTATGTACTGTGTTTGTGATAGGTGTACGAACTATTATATACTCTTAAAGTTTTTAAAAATTTTCGTAATATTTGCAATATTTCAGAATATTTTCGTTTCACTTTCTTTTTTTTTTCAATCTCATTTGTTAATGTTTTTTTCATTTTTTATCCATTCATATATATTCTTAATTTCACTTTTACAAAATAAACGGTTTAAAAAATAAAGATACCTCCTTAACTTAAATCAGTCTAGGGGACTTTCATCTATAATATGTGTGCAATATATAAAACTTTGTTGTAGTTTTATATACAAATTATTACTCGACACTTTTATATTTAATCCATTATGCTGATCACTAATAGTAATTTTTTTATTTAGAATGTTCAGTTCAAGATTTCTTATAATTTTTGGTCTATGAAAGAAGAATTAAATGAAAGATGTAATTGTACTACATCATCAAATGAATTCTCAATTTGGATATAAACATTATCCTGTTGTTGGGAACGAGACATACACTTTCCAAAGGAATATTGTGTCGCAAAGTTACAATATAACGAGTTACAGGATGTGGCAAATACTCATAAATTTAAGGGTAATATCATCTTTAAATGAAAATCTCAAAATATGTTTAACACCAGATATTAGTTCTATCAAGTTAACTTTTCCTTAAAGTGATCGGTTGTTTCATTGAATAGTGAACATTTAGCAAACTGATAAATACATATAAAAAATTCTACACGTTTTATGTAATTATGAAAATAGTAAGAGATACTTCTATGTGAAATATTTTCACATTAAGTCGGATAGTCTATGTTCCATTATAATAATGAAAATATACGATAAGTATTTTAAACATATAAGACGTACAAATACATCTACCCAAACACGTACATATGTATAGATCCAGTAATTTCTCATATATCGCTTGATATATGTATGAATTTCCTTTAATATGAAAGAAAAAAAGATAAAATAAAAAAAACATTTCTCTCACAATCAGTGTCAGTCTTGCAAAATTTATAGTATAATTCAATAAAATTTTTCTTTCTTTAACTGAATAAGATACTATCACGTGAAATATGATTCATTATTCTGGGGCACCATTGCAAAATATTTAAATGATACAGCTGGAGATTATGAGAGTATAAAGCCTTAAATACAATGCGAAGGAATAGCGATAGGAATAACACGATTTCACCTACCTATTAGAAATCAGACATACATTGGAATCTACACTTTTTGATAGGTTGAAATCGTATTATTCCTATCGCTATTCCTTCGCATTGTGTTTAAGGTTTAAGGCCATGCATACAATGGAGAAAATATTAGAAATAGAAATAAATATTAAAATTTCAATCTATCAGAAACCGCGTATTCTAATGTACTGACATTGAGTATTATCTATTGATGAATTCGGCACACATGCACTGACTCCGCTCTAGTGTTGCCCTGACATGGTGCAGAGTCACTTTAGTACTATATCAGCGCTGAAAATCTAGTTTATATATATACTATACATTTTCAGCACTGGCAGTGAGTTTTGAAACACAGTCATGTAGAGATAGATACATCACTACGCATCATGATGTCACGTGTCGTAACGTAATGTATAATGAACCAATAAGAAATTCCCAAAGATGCAGCCGCGAAGTTCAAATGCTAACTTAATATATATTATACGCTAAATTAACTCATTAGTTTTCAATGATAGGTTTTCTTTGATGTTTTTAGTGACACTTTCAAATATAGTTGATAACATTTGACAGAAAAGATGAAAAAACTTGTTATAAAAATTTTTCATTAGTTCCCAGTGTCCTATTTATAGAAAGTTTTGCACAATTGCATTGAAGTCTTTTGATATTTCATCTGGATTTCATACATTGTACTCAATTATTATCAAATCGTTACTGTAACCATAAATAACAATTAGAAAAGTAATGGCGTCACAAGTAACGCGTTATCTGCCGTCCCTGAAAAA